TGCCCCGAGCCCGCCCTGCTGCGCGCCGCCGACAGAGCCGCCCAGTTCGCGGGGGACGACTTCGCACACGCCGCTCCCGAGCGGGGCGGGGGTGCCCTGGGGGTGCAGCTCACCTGCGACGTCAAGCCAGGTGCGGGACGGCAGGAGGGGCCCGGGGGCGGGAGGGCACACCCCACCCCCTACACCATCACCCCTTTCCGTGGCACTAGGGTCCTGCAGCCCGCGGAGGCTCAGCGTGGTGGCGGAGAGTCGCAGCCGCAGCGTGCTGGATCTCCTCGAGCCGGCAGGGGAGGAGATCACACATATCTGCAGGGTCAAGGGGCTTCAGCACCTCTGAGAACCCGGGCACCGGGGAGCCTGAGTGACTGCACCAGACTTTCTTTTGGGAGAGTTAGGAAGGCARTCTGGCGCTGGTCTATACAACGTGTGAGGGAATTGCTGCCCTGGCTCCCCTCTCTGCTCCCCTACAGCTCCCCTCTGCACACATGTGCACCCAGGAGACCTAGAGCTGTGGAAATGGCAAAATCTTTTTTAGTGCTGTTTTTAAGTGTAAGATCTCTGTCGCTTTTTTCACAGCCTGGTATTTCTGGTGCTTTTAATATATAGCAACATCGTAAAATGCTTCCATGGGGTGCGTATATGTTCCACACTCAGGCAGGCTGGTGCCACAGTAAGAAACTTGCTACTGCCGCCAAACTGTCTTGCTATAATAGGCAGGGGAAAAAATTGTAAAGCCTGTCTTACAGTATTGTTCAGAACACTTGCCTGTTCGTTGRCAAACACAGCTCTGATGAATTAGGTATCCCTGTAGGAAGCCAGGTATGTCTATGGGTATACTCACAGGTCAGCCCAAGGTGTATCTAATTGGGATTTGTGGAGTTACTGACATGAAGAGCACCAGTAGGTATTTAATAATCATGAAACAGTTTGGTTTAATGCCTTATCTGAAAAGTGTAAAATATATGAGGAACAGTGATTAGTTTCCCATTGATGCTAAAAGCTAATGGAAAGCTTGAAGAAGATAATTTAAGCTTTGTCACATCTGTGTGGTAAACATGAATGTTGTGGCTGCTTCAGACACCAGAGCATATGCCAAGCRTAGAAGTCGTCAAGGTCTACTTAGTGAAGTGACATCTCCTCCAAAAGAGACTCCTGCACTTGGTGATTCCAGTCCTAGGACTGACATTTAAGCCTCCCTGTGCCTAGTTCAGTGACTCTATCTAGCTTCATTTTGCCTGAAACGGTCCCCAGTTGTCTTACAGCACCTCTGTATGCTCCATGACCAAAGGTGAATGGAAGATGATTCAGCGTGGTTATACAAGCCTTGGCAAACAGTAAGAGCATWCTGCTTGTACAGAAAAGAGTAAAYTTTTGGATGGTGCTGGAAACAGACRTGCTGTATCTCTGTTCAAGTCTTACAAAGCATCCAGCTCAGCATGACCTCTCTCACCAAACATCCTCTTATTCTTTGCCTGTCTTGGATCGGTCTGTGCTGCCCAGTCGCCAACACCATCAGCAGTTAAAGCTGACATGGTGAGTTACATGCACCTCTCATGTCCTGGGCTTTGGGTTTAGGTCCTCTGTCCCCTCTGATGTGGGTCAGARGAATTAAAGCTAAAGGGTCAGAGTTTGCTCTTTCAATTTTATACTCTTTGCAGGCCTGATGCTGGATGAAGTCTTGGAGGAACAGAAGTGTGGTTAGAAGTTTCCCTTAACAAAATCCTTGAATGCATCAAGAATGGATTATGGGCAGTGGTGGTCATGGATTTGTGCTTTCATCTTCTGTGGCAGAGAGAAGTGTCCTATAAGTTGGAGAGAAAGTGTACAGCACTGCCACTAAACCRTGTCACCTCATGGAAGGCATGGAAGCACACAGCGAGCAAACCTGTGGTAACACACGAGCTTCTGTGTGAGCTCTCACATGAGGTAGCTGCATCCTCAGAAGTTCTCCTCTCTCACTGCTGTTGTCTTGTGCCCACTGCTGCAGCTGATGTGAATGAGACTTGCTGTAGACATGCTCTGTCCAAACTGGACAAAGGACATACATACATGTTTTGCCCATTCCAAAGACAGGACCCGACCCAGACCTTCCTAAGTCAGCTTTCTCTCCTAGGAGTGGAAGAACAGCATACTGAATTCATCAACATCTAGCAGAAATTCCATGTATTTGGCATCAGGAACAAAAAAATAAGGCATGTGGGTTGTCTTTGATTTCCTTCRAGTCAGTGTATAGGCAAGCATCCAGTGTTCTGCTCTGCTTGCAACCTTTAAAATTCTCTGCGTTTCCCTGAGACCTCCTTTTGAACACAGGTCAGTGGGTCTCCTGCAGCAATGCAGAGAATACCTTTTTCAATCCCCATTTGCAGCTGGAGTCAAAAATCTTGCAAGGTTTTTATAGCAATTTCAGCATGGCTTGTCTACTAAAACAGAACAAAAAAATGTGTTAATTACATCTCTAACTGGGAGAAATGCATTTACAATTGTCTGGGGATAGCTGCAACTCAAACAGAAGTAATGTCCATAGCAAGGGRGAATGACTTCCAACTGAAAGAGAGTAGATGTAGATAAGATACTAGAAAACAATTCTTTACTGTGAGGGTCATAAGGCCCTGGAACAGGCTGCCCAGAGAAACTGTGGATGTTCCATTCCTGGAAGTGTTCAAGGCCAGGTTGGATGGGGCTCTGAGCAACCTGGTCTAGTGCAGGGTGTCCCTGCCCATGGCAGAGGGGTTGGAACTGGATAAACTGGATAAACTGGATAAACTTTCAATGCAAGCCACGACTCGATGATTCAGAAGGTCAGTGACTGTTCCGGTCCTTCTTTGTTTCTAGGGGAAAACATTTCTGTGTAGTTACCATTTCAGCATATTTCCTCTAATACCAGCCGTGTGGGATGTTTCTTTGCCATTGACCTCTCCTCAGACAGCAGGGAAGCTGGAATATTCTGCCTAGGTGACCCAAAGGCCATTTTTCTACCTGCATTATTTCACCATGCACAGRTGGGGACCTGGTGGCCCACCCCAGCCTATGACTGCCAGCTTTGTGACAGTGCCTGAGCAGATTCGCAGTGATTCTTTAGTAGTTAAAATATCCCTGCTCTGCTTAACCTGCTGGAGAAAACTGTGTTTGGGTGAGCCAATTAGTCTGTTACTGAACCTGTTAAAAGCCCCATTCATATGAGGTGCAGCCCACTTGAGTGCTCGCTGGAGACAACACCTGATAGCWGCCCTCCAAGGTACAGGCCAGTACCAGGGGCTGGAGCTGATTCCCAGCACGGTGTTGGTGTTTGCAGGCTCATGTGCATGTGGCAGGTGACTGTCACTCTCCCCAGCTGCCTGCCAGAGCCCGCACAGCCCAATCTGTAGGGGCCACAAACACCTTCATCATCTTTTCAGCCAGTACCACCAGCACCACACCTACTGTCTGGAAGACTCCTGCCTGCTGCAGCTGCACCATTGCTTCTCTTGGCCTGATGAAGATGATGGAGTGCAGACTCATAGCTCAATTTTGCATCAGATGAGCCCATTGTCCCTGCTATTTCTCAGCAGCACTATGAGTGCACCTTACTTGGGATGAAAGACTGGCATCCCAAAAGCAGGAACGCATGGGAACTGGGTTTTGTTTTCTTATCCTGGTCATTTTTTCCTCTAATCTACTATTCTGCAAACTACCTTATTATTTACATTAATGCTGAAAAATAAATACTAATGTGTACCTTATGCAGTGAGTAAAAGTAACCAAACAGCAAAATATTTTGGGAACTGTAAACAGGAACTGGATATGATCTGTTATCACTGTGTCATCCTTTATGTTCTGCGGTTTTAAGAATAAAAATCAGTGCTGCATAATAACAGATGACTGGTTGTATGGATTCAGGATTCTTTCTGGCAATGTCCAGCAGCAGATACTGTAGAAAATCTGGCATGATATTTTCCTAGATCATTATCCCAGCTCCAACAGTTTGTTGCTTAGATTTCCTGAATCTGATTGACGTCTGTGTATCTTTTAGCCCAAACAGATTTGATTTTTGAATTTTTATTGTGCATGGAATTGCTGCCTTCATTTAATGTCCCTTAATTCTTGTATTGGAAGAAAGACTGAAGAGTTTTTCCATATTCACTTGCTTTAGGGTACCTATAATATAGCACAGTTGTTTGGTTTCTTTTTTTTTCCTGATCCTGAAAAATCTTACCTGCTTTCTCATATTGCAGCAGTATCAAATGTTAGAGTTCCCTTGTTGCCCTTTTTGTGAACTTTTCAGTTCTTCTGTACTCCTTTTTGAGATGGGGAACCAGGACTGCATGCTGTATTAAGATGCTCTATTGATTAATGTAATGTCATAATGGTATATTATCTTCTGTTATACATTTTCCTTCTAATTAATCCTAGAATTTTATTTGCCTTTCTGACCTCTGTTGGACACTGAACTGATGATTATATGGCTTTGTAGCCCAACATTTATATCTAGATATATTACTTCAAGATTGTTTTCAAGGGATAATAATAATCTACAAGTATGACATTTGATCTAAAAAATCTTAGACTTTTTTTTTCAGTGGGAACCTCGTTTCACCTTTATCTCCTTTGAACTTCTTTTTTGTAATTTTATTGCTGCTGCTCAGTATCATAGACTCCTTTTGCAGCTCTCAGCAATTGACCCTTACTTTTACCACCTTTAATAGCTTAAAATTCACAGCAAGTTTTATCACCTCATTTTATCACTTCTGCAGTGAAAATGGACCATTTACTTTTTACTGTGTTTGAACATGTACATACGAAGGATTAATGTGTTATTGATGTGATGCCTAATTTATGCCTTGAAGCAGGGACAAATAATGTTGCTTATAAAAAGGAAGACCATGTGGTCTCATGGAGGTGCTACAAAGATAGTAAAGGAGCTGACCTTGTAAAGATGACTTGAATTTAGTGAGACTTTTCGTTAACTTACTAAAATTGGAATGCTTTTGAAGAGATAATGCAACAAGCTTGGACAATAATTGATCATTTGTGTTTCAGGAGAAAATGAAGTTCCATCAGAAGATGCCCTAATACTACAACTGCACCTTGCAAAAGGGCATGAGAAATTCACTGAAATGCTAAAAAGCCAGCAGCAGATCATTGTTGATCTGCAGCAAAAACTTGCTGAACAGCAGCACGTGTTGGTTAGCCAGCAACGGGAGATTCTTGAACAGCAAAGAAAAATGTATGAGCAAATGGATCTGATCAAAGTCCAATATGGCATGCTTTTTGATACAGTGAAACAAATGTCATTTCAGAGTTTGCAAGAAGATATTCAAAATTATTTTGAAAGTCATCTTCATGGACTTCAGAACCAGGTCAGAAATCATCTTCAGAAGTCATACTCTGTGCATAAAGTAGAAGTGGATGCCAAAGTGATTAATGTTGGGGAGTCTTTGCTGGACTGTGGCCTTTGTGAAAGCGATGAATTTTGCAATTTCCAAAAGACACCTTCACAATGTGAAAAATGCACATTGTGTCCTGCTGGTTTTTTCCAAATGGCCGAGTGTTCTGCAAACTCTGATCGGATTTGCCAGGTGAAACATAATTCTGTATCTTTCAGTTACTGCTTACAAAGCATGKTGTTGGACATGTTGGGATTACATTATGGAAATAACTACTTGGAAAACTGGAGAAATCCAGTTTGGAGCATGTGTTTTACTGAATGGGTCTGTGGCATTTCAAAGTCTGCCAGAAGGTTTTTTTTTTTGCGGGTTTCTCTTAGGCATTTAGTGTTCTAAATAAGGCACTAGTTTGTGCCTCTTGGGTGTGACACTTTCCCAAACCTGACAGCTGGCAAGACTTCAGTTCTTTCCATGTGGTGGTAAAAGACATCCTAAAACATTTAGACTTAYGCATACTAAATTTGTTTATGTAATACCCTGACACTCTACAGGAGCTTCTAGACATCTCTGAGAAGTACAGGAAAGCTTTACTAAGCTTTATTAAGCAAGTCATTTATTTGTAAGTTTGGAAACAGAAATTGTTAGTTAAAAAATTGTAAGAACTAGTTACCACTTCAACATAGCACACAAATACACTGATAAAGAAAGTGGGTRCTTTTATTGTTAAATACATTTTATTATACAACACAATACCAGAATGCAAACAAAATTAGATTTTTTTTGTTCTTTTTCTGTCATTTAGAAGTCCTAAGATATGGGCAAGTTATTATTTAAAGCAATATCTTGTTTGCCAAGTGTTGCCCCCAATTCTCAGCTTAATATGAGCCTGACCAGCTGGTGATCTAAGCCCAAGGTGCTGAGAACCTGAAAGTGTCTGTCCAGTTCTCGCTATGCTAGCTTCAGTTTTCTTAAATGTTAGCATTTAAATGTTAGCATTTAAATGCAAATGTTAGCATTTAAATGTTAGCATTTAAATGCAAATGTAGGCTGCTTTTCTTTCCCCTCTGCCTGCTGTAGGGTGAAAGGAGGGCTCATTGACCGGGAATATTTCTTTTTCATTTGCTTTTCATTGTGTTTCATGGTTAGCACCTTCCTCCTAGACTAAATGTCCTTAAAAGCCTGTCCTAACACTGGCTTGATTGCTGGAACATCCTTAAGATCTATGTATTGATCCTGGGGATGTGCATCATAACAAGTGTTCCTTCTGCACCCTCTCCATTCAGCTCACTTGCACTCTGCTCACTTGCTGTGGTCACCATGCAGTGTTTTTGGATACCTGGTTAAAACAGGGAACAAATCCAAGTCAAAATTGTCTTGCTCTAACATGCTTGTGATATAGACCTCTTTTCCCTCCCTAGATACACCTACGACCGACAGATAGATGTCACATTTCAATGTCACACATTTGAAATGACTGTTTCAAATTTAAGCTGACATGTTGAAGTGTTTCAATACGATTCTTGTGATTTACAGGACAGAGATGAGTGCACTGAATYTCCAAGCATTTGTGGTGAGAGGATAAAATGCCTCAATACTCCAGGTAAGTTATGTTCTCTAATAATCAAAGAATGAGGATAATTAGATCTTCAGGAACAGGCCAAAGAAATAGGTAGGGACTCAAGCTTATATGTTAGTGAATAGTGACATGCACAGCTTGCTGGAATCAAAGGGGTTGAAAAACACTAAACTGTAAATTGACAGCARTTCTTGTGGGCAGTGGTCTATTTAGGACATTAATATCCTCTAGAAGGACTGGATGGTCCCTTTTACCTTATTTTCATGGGGGTTTATATGCTTTGTTTTTAATTTTCTCTTATGACCTGTCTTTCTTCTTGTTTATGCTGGTGCAAATAGGGACAAAATCAAAGGCACTATTCCTAATGGAGAAAAATAGATGTAATTTTCCTTCTGGTACACTGGGGAATATATCTGATTTGATATAATGAAGACTCTAATAAGACCTCCCTCATGAATCTGGTTCTCCTTTAGCAAAAGTATTGTCAAATACTGAGGAAAGATCAAGAGTTTCCATCATTTGAGGACASTTGGGGGAATTTTTTAGACATTTAAGAACAGATCTGTCTGGTGTTTTGCACTGCAGACTCCATTATTTCATTACATTCTCATGGAAGTCAGACACGAAAGAGCAAAATTAATAGACATACTGAGCAAGTTGTATGCAGGTACTAGGTTTCTTTCTATTGGTCTAATTTCTGATCATCCAAAAAACTTTGTAGGGAGCTCTGTGATCAAACAGAGCTTTTCCTCCTCTAGGCTTCTAACTTATAAGAAGAGGGTGGTCTCTCTGAGGGGCAAGGGCTGTTTTCAGCTGATTATGAGTGATTTTGTGCCTGTCCTACCCAGTCACTAGTGGAGAAAAAAATGGGTCCCTAGAAAAAGGTTAGAAGGGGGTGTGGGTATTCTTATATTGTCCTTATTTCCTCTGGGCAGGAACTGTGTTGTTTTGGTGTTTGAATGGTGTTTAAACTGTGTTTGAGTGGTGTTACTAMAAACACCACAGGAAACTGGAAATGACTTGAGGAAGAGAGCACTTAGTGCTGCCTTGCGTGGTAAATGCTGCTGAGAGTCTTAGTGGTGGCTGGTTGGGGGCAAGGCAGCTTAGAGCACAAAATTTCAGTCAGAACATTGGAAAAGTGTAAGGCTTTGTCTCTTTCTTTGGTGAGACATTGGGTTTGCTTGAGTTGGTGCTTTTTTGGGTAGAAGCCCACAAGGTGCCAGCCCTCAGAAAGGAGAGCCACCAATGTGGTGGTCATTTGATGTTGCTCTTGTCTGTGGCTTGGAAGAGGGAAGGCTTTAATGAATTTATTCAGAGGGTTCTGTGGCAGTGAGGGGGCTCAGACCAAGAAAGRGTCTGTACAATTGCTGGAGGAATGTAAGTGAGGGCAAAATACTGCCAAGAAACAGATAAATAGTGACGGTGTGTCAGACCACAGAAAGGCAGCAACAATGTATTTGGGAGGAAAGGAATCTCCCCTTTCTTCCTTTTCTCCCAGTTTTAATGGTGACTTATAGATATATGAAAGCAAGTTATTTCCCATCACCTGACAGGAATCAATGTCCTGGCAATGTTGTTCCCATCTGTCATGGAARAGAGAGTGWTCCTTTTCGTTTTTTGTTAGAGACRAGTGYTGCTTTCAGCCTGTCTGTGCATGGTAGCTCATTATCTTACACAAGTGCGATTAACGTGTGAAAAGAAAGGCTGAGACTGAATGTCTGTTTTGGGTAATGAAGGGAAGAAGGGGATGTGATGTGCCATATGAGTTCCAGATGTTGYATGTGGTTACTTCAGCTGCACGCAAAGGTTGTTGCATCTGTAGCAACTCATGTTCAATGCACAGTGTGAGGAGAGATAGAACAAATGACAGTAAAGAATCTTGTAACTAGGAGCATCTCTTTCTTCACYCTTCTACTTTCCTCTRCATCATACMTTCTTCCTTTGCTGCTTTTTTTCACTTGTATGTGGGCTAAGAGTTGTTAGGTTATTTGATTAAAGGCTACTCATCAAGTTTCAATAACAGTTGGAGGTATACAATTAGTGAAAATGAAATTTGGTGCATCATTTCCTTCTTAGATAACCATGAGAGTGGCCAACAAATAGTATCAACCAAAAGCACCCTCTCTGGAATGCCATGCAAAATAAAGAGGACTTACTGTAGAACTTACTGTGGGATGCAGGGGGAGGAGGAATAAAAACCTAGACAGATAGCCTTGGTTTGTAATTAATCATGTTGATATGTGATGATCCAAATTTGACATAGAGTGTTTAAGAAGAGAAGGATTCCCATACTTAGTCCGCTTGAATGTAACCTTTGCATCRGGGAGYTGTGAGTAGTAGCAGCAGAAAAATRCATGCATGGCTTACTCTAATTGCCCTACAATTACCTTGCCCCACGAGTGGCAAGGGCAGGGGAATGTGCTGCAGAAAGACTCAATTTCACAAAACCAGGCTGAGTACAGCTGGGCTGCTCACTGTGAAACCAGGTGCAGCAGTGCCCAGAGCCAAGGAGTCAGGAAGACACAGCAGAGGTTGTAAAATGGTAAAGAGCAGCAGGAAACAGACCCAGCATGCTGCTGTGCTGGTTTTCTGATGTTTGGCTGTTTTTTTGCTGCTTGACCTCTTCTGGGCAAAGGCTAGGGTGCTGTTCTAGCAACTGTGGCCTCAGTAAAAGCAGCCTATGTGTCAGGCTTTGAAGTCACTTATTTGAAGTACCCACAGGGGAGCACCTGCTGCAGATCGAACCAATAAAAGACTGGACAGCAAATTAATGCACGTAGCCATCACAATGGCAYGTAGCCATTGTGAAATTGGTATTTGTAAATACTGAAATATACATTAAGATATTTTAAAGAAATCAATAGCATAAAAAATGTTTCTAGGCACTACTGAAAATCTTCTCTGCCATGTGAACCAGCTATATGTGTGTATTTAGTTCATCCARTATTTCTCAGAGGTGGTGGAGCTACTGATATGAGAAATAAAAGTGGTTAAGAAGTGTCATGTGAGCAAATACATCATGGTTTAAACTGATTTCAAAGGGAAAGATTGTCTGGGACTTTTTTCTATATTCCCTCTAGAATGTATTTAGTTGAAAAAACATAATCTTACTTATTTGGCTTTTGTTTCCTCATTAAAAAACAAGACACTTTCAGAGGGGAACAGTGTTACATTGCTCTTGACCTTTTTTCAGATGGAAAGAATCTTACTGTTCTGCAGTGAAATATTTTGATAAAATGGCACCTGGCCTTAGAAAGAATATTCTCACATCATATACTATACAGTCCTACGTGTTAGTGGAGAATCATCACTTAAGTGAATGAAATGTAAATAGACAAAGGGATATGAGGGTGAATATATGAAGTCTGTATAAATTACCAGTGTGTCTGGTGCTCTCTGCTAAATAAGGGAGTATCAGAACTGAATTCTGGCCAACATTCTGACCCCCCCGTGGGCCAGGTGAGTGTGCACTGCTCTGTCTTGCAATTTGTAGCAAATGTAGCATGTTTTTCTGTCTGCATCAGCAGTCAGCTTAGCCAGCCCCATCCTGGACTAGCAATGGAGAAATATGGCTTGTTGGGTTCCATGCAAATGCTTGTAGTCCCAGACTTAGAGCAGATCCCAGCCYAGATATAGGAAGTTTCCACCTGAAGAATAATGCAGATGTATGACACAGGATCTAAATAGTAAAGGAGTTTAAGAAGATCTATTAGAAAGGTGATTATTAAGTTTTGATCATGACAGTAAAAAGCATAAATGAATTCATTAGTTTTAAGTTTTGAGGCACAAGCTAAAGGTGGTTTATTATTTAGGATGTCTCAGAAGTTGTATGTTGATTTAGACCCTGAAATCTCCATGCACAAAGGTTTTGGGTTCTGGTTGCTCCAGGTGGAAGCACTGGCAGCTGGCAGTGCACTTGGAAAATTGCCATAGAAAATTACAGGCTGTTTTTAAAACCTGTTTTTTGTGTGTGCATTCTTTGATCCGCTGGGGTCATGGGTGTGCCATTTAACAGCACAGAATTGCTTTATGTCAAACTAAGTAATTTCAAATGGCACATGTATATTCTCCTCACTGTTTGTAGCAGTTTTTTACTTTGGTTTGATCACAGCTGCTGGTGTCCCATATCTTAGGGCACTGGTTTTCCACTTTTTAAATGTGTGGACTGCTGCAGAGTGATTTGAAGTCTGCTGTTTACAGTTTTGGTTTTCCTATTGCCTCCTGCAGTTTTTTTTAAAAACCTGTGAATGGAGTGAATGCCTGGGATCCCTGTCCCTTGGGTTGCAAAGCACTGGTTTAGCAATTTTAGCAACAGCAGGGCTACCCTGTAGCATACGTGGGCAGGCAGGGCACATTTGTCCCTGTGTCAGGAACTCTCCATTAGCTGAAAGGATCTTAGCTGCCCAGTCACCATGCCTTTTACTCCAGGGAAGGAAGGGATTGCCTTTGAAGCAGTATCATTGTATTTAATACAGGTTTTGGTTAGAATGGCCCCTATATGGCTTCTTTTTTACTCCAAACCATTGTTCTTGGCATGGACAAGGTGAGTTATGCCATACATTTCCTCTGTATGCAATCAAGGTTCCTTTAATAGTAATATAACATCATAACTGTCTTCTATTTCCTCTCTCATGATCAGATAAATTATCAAAGATACTTGATATGTGGAGCTGTAGAGTTCTTCTTTTTAGTAGTTTAAAGGTATGACAATAAAAAGATTCCATTTCCTGCGAACAGGTGGTTTCCGATGCCTTGGAATTGCTGAGAAAGATGCAGCTTTGGGGATGTGTGGAGAAGAGTATTTCTTTAACAAGGAAATGCAGGAATGCCAAGCGTGTTTGAAATGTGAAGATGGAATGGTGGCCGTGCCTTGTTCCACTGTCAGTGACACSGTTTGTTCAGCTGCCAGTGAAAACAAGCTCTCAGAGTCCTGGGCTGCCAACATCGCTCTACCCTCTGTGAAATCTGGCATCTCTCAGGTCTACTCTGGCTTGAACTTGAAGATAAAGGGAAAGCTTCCCTGTGAAATCCTGTCCRTTGAAGACAGCAGCCTGGTATTCAGGCAACATGGGCTGTTGTGGAYTGACCTAAATTTTGCAGTAAAGCACAACTGCAGGAACTTTTTGCAACTTTCCTTAAAGCTCAATGGCAGCGAGGAAGGCTACGAACTGAGCGGTGTTCGGATAGAGCAGCCAGAAGGAAAGTATTTCCAGAGCACTAGTTTAAGCAGTGCTGCTGAAGTGGAGCCCAGCCAAACTCTTTCTGTGTATTTGAGGAGYCCTAATCAATTCTGCAATCAAAGCAAAGACTTAAATATTTATGATCTCARTACCCCACTCAGTTTGTTTTGGTTGTCCCACGACACAGGTGCTGTGGCACTCAGTGCACAGATGTCTACAGCAATGCATTACCAAACCAACTATCGACCTACCTTTAAAATAATTTCTGTTTCTGACCCTTATATGCTAAGTTTATCTCATGATGGCAGAGCTATAAAATTCACYGAAACTGGTGTTGTCAAATTTGTGTTTCACCAAGCATTGTACTCCATGGGTCACACTTGTGTCCGGGAGGGCTTCTCCTTAATTTCTTACATCAATAGGAATGGTACCAATAGAGAATTAATGAATGTGTTTAAATCTGGGGTAAATTACAGAGACACATCGATATCTGCTTCTGGGGCCACAAAAGTTGGTGCTGGAGATCTGGTTAGCTTTGAAATACTTTCTCCTGCACAGTGTAAYGTTCGGTATTTTGGAGATAGTTCTGGAATTAGCATGTTTAGCCTCATCTGGATCCCTTCAGCAGTTTCCAGTGCCATATCAGCCACAGTTTCTGTTACAGGTCTGCCTACTGGAGCTGTGAGAAACAAACTACTGGATTTCACCCAGGTCTCAGCCAAAGAAAAACAGATACAGCTGGTTTCTTCTGGACAGCTTGCTCAGAAGTATTTTATTTTTACTGAAAAGGGAGTTGCCAGCCTTGCATTTAACTTAAAGCTAATCCATTCTTGCAATRTGCTCAAAGTGACTCTCAATCAGCTGAGCATGGATCACATGCAGCCCACAGCAATTGCTCAGCAGGTTGGAGGGCAGATGCCAGAGGGAAGCACATGGACCAGTGTGTCCCTCCGTGCATCTTTTCAAGTGCACAATGGGACACTGATATCAGTTTCTCTTGACTGTGTGCGTGGAAGGATCAATCAGATCACTCAYGAACATGGAACCAGTATATCTATTTTATGGATTTCATCTTAATTTCTGCACAGTGATGTTAGCATGGAATTGGGGTTTAAATTGTATTTGGATTCTACTCTGATTCTATACRTATTTGTCACTATACTGTGTTGACTTGAGCAGATCATCATGCCAAAATGCTCTCAATTTTAGGAATATTTAAATATAATCTGAACTGAATGATCACTATTAAAAGAAAACAAGAGCTTTCAGTGTCCAGGTTTTTGATTCTGTTACCATCCTCAGGCAGGGAAACACTGAATTCAGGTCAAACCTTCTTATTTTTAATAAAGCARTCTCTTAAAATTGTGTATTTTTGGACCACAAAAAATTGCAGCTGAGGGTAAATAGGATTTAGTACTGTAACAGAAAGCAGCACAGCCAAATAATTGAAACCTGCTTTCATTTTTTTTCAGGCAACAGGCTAATAAAAAGACCAAATATACTTCAGGGCTAATTTATCTACATCTTACAAAATGTTGTCCGTTCCATAAATGGAGAGAATATGCCTCAATTAAGTGATAATGTGGCAACACTGGAGTATACATTCTTAATATTGTGGAAATGGACTGATCAAAAATAGAACACTGTTTTTACAACAAAAAGAGTGGAACTAATGACTGCTCTAATTTCGTTTGGAAATAATGTGCATTTAAGTAATTTGGGAAGGCTTTTCCCTGTTTTTAGTTTTGCCAGTGAAAAGTTGCAGAATGAGAAAGAAGGAAGTCTATTCTAAGAAGAAAGAGTATATAGGCAAAAAGAAACAAGTACTAAAATAATGTCTTGAAAATTAGACTTTTGAAAATTAAGCAAATTTTTATTCAATTTCTTTTAAACACTAGAATATTTTTCTGATTGAAAATAAACATTCACAAGTCTTTTTATTTTGCTGAACAGCTGCTTACATTAAAAAGGTTATTTTTTTGTCAAATCAGTCAGTTAATTCAAAGAAATGGTGTATTCATTGATGCTAATTTTTAACTTCTTCCAACTTTTCCATCAAATAATTCTTTCTTTTTCTAAATTATGTAGCCTGTTTTCTCTCATATTTTCTTTCCTCCTCTACAAATGCTTCTTCACTCCCCTTTCTCATTTCTTTTGTTAGGAGTAAATGATGTGCCCTGTGACATCTTTCCAGCTTTCTTTCAGCATTTGTGTCACACATGTAACTACACAAGAGAGACATTAACAATGCACTTGCAGGCTGTCTTATATCAACCCTACAGAAAAGAAATATTATGCACAATATAACTTTTATGTGTCTTCCTGAGTATGTATATCTAATATATATATACATTGCTGTGTTTTTAATCTGTTTTGGAGTTTCTTACACTGCTTTTGCTATATAATGTCTTCCTATTATTTTTCTGTACTAGAATGAACCCAAGTGCAAGGCTTCTATCTGGTGGTTGTTTTAACCTGTGACATTATAACTGTGTCCTTAACACTGAAGTTATGTTTCCCTCATCTTTTTTTTTTTTTTTTTTTTTTTTCTCCAGGAAAGATTCAGGGTTTGGACAAACTACTCTCCTGCTCCAAATAGAGAACAGTAATTTTTCTTGCTTTCAGCTGCAAAGTCTAAGCAGTCTGCCACAGGGCACCTTACTGGGCTTGGTGTTGCAGCCAGCATAAGAACACAAACCAGTAATCCTGGTGTCCCCAAAGTCTGTCTGTGACAAAGTTCTTAATGTCTAAAGGTAGCCAGGGTCTCATTCGTTGTCTCAAGGTCATAAGGAAGGATGAATTAAAACTAACATTTAAGGAGTTCAACATTTTCGAAATACTGTTATCATTACAGAGAAGGAGTTTGGAATGAAAGGCACGTGTACCTGTTGTACACAGAAGAGCTACCTTACCTGGGAGCAGAGCAGTTTTTCTGGGTACTTCACTCTTGGACTCTGCTGAGGCTGAGTAAAGGTGAAATGGCACAGGAGTTAAAGTTCTTCTGGCATACCCATTCTGCTGTCTGTAGAAAGATACATGTGATGTAGGAGAAGCTCTGCAGAGAGCTCACCTGGGTATTTCTATGGTAAGAGTTCAGGGAGAGGCAATGTTAGAGAAAGCTAGAAATTATATGCTGATGTTTTTGTTCTAGAAGAAGTTAAGAAAGTCACTTTCTCGCAAACAGAGCCCCTKATTTTCCTTTGCTGGTTTATTCTGTGCAGTTTTGTTGGAGGCTGTCAGTCCCCAGTATGACAGCTTAAGGCTCATTCTAGTTTTAACCCTGTGAAGCAGAGATCAGAATCTGGTGTTAGAAATAATCTGGTACATGTTTAGCAAAGTGCAGATGTTACTTGAATATAATAAACTTTTGCCTATGTATAGCATATAGGAAATATAATGGCATGATTTGTATGAGTGTGCATTATTTGGGTGAGATTGTGAGATCAGTGGGGTTACTTAAACAGGGAAAAGAGTGATGCTCCAATCCTGTATTATGTATGTTGGTGGTATTTGCATTTAAATGGACCAGTATTAGAGTTTTTCTAGGATACTAGAAAAACTACAAGGAAGGTACAAGTGAACATTATTACAGCTGAGAGAGGTTCCAGAATACACATGTGTTCAACCCTTTTTGGGGGGTTCTGTTGGGAGTGCCCAGAATTTTCCATAAATTCAGAATAAATTTTTAGGTGCACAGGGACAGCAACACAGTATTTTGCAGCCATGCGGTAGTGATAATGCATCTAACAATGTTTTACTCATGTCATCTGTGATAAGRCACTTGGAGAATGAAAAAAGTCTTATTCAGTATATATTATTAATTGTAATTTGCAGCAAGATTAGCCTTACTTCAAGCAAGAAAAGGCTGATCATGAAGCTTTTTTTTTAGTCTCTCCCTTTCCAAAAAAAAAAAAAAAAGGCTGGATCTGTAGTTCAGGGCACTCACTGACCTTGGTTATAGCAACAGGAATTTGGAGTATGTTGGAATCAATATGGATTTATGATAGCCTAATTAATGGCATAGTATATAGCCTTTGCATCTATGAAAATGATATATATTGCCTCATACCATGCCACAGTAAGTGGTGCACTATGGTTCTGAATAAGATAAAGGTCAAGAGGAATCGATGCACAATGAATGCTAGTTTTATGGCACTTATCCCATTTGCTGTAATAAATTGCATGTTTTATTGACAGGTATCTTATTAATTATATTTACAACTGTTGAACTTTTTAATGATTTTTTTCCCATATGGTTTCTTTCTATTAATGGTACAATATAATACTGCAAAGTACAGAATTCATTTAAAAGCTTTTATTTTGATCTTCTGATACCATATTCATGAATATGGTTAAAATAGCTGGAGACAGTCTCTTCTGTCTTTTCTGCCAGAGGGTGTTTCCAAARGAAATACTCACAAAATAACAGAGTAGGTATAAGGCTGGTAGAATTTCCCTGTACGGAAGGAGTTTAAGTTAACACATCCAGGAAAGCAGGTGGTTATTTCACTGTATTATGAAGATAATGGGCAACATGTTGTTATAGAAAACTTGACCATTACAAAGGAAAATAATTTAGCTTGCATAGTGCTGATCAAACAAAACGAAAAAACGATTTGGCTTACAAAAACCTGCATTGTTTTGTATTGGGAAACATTTTGTAAGTTCAAGGCTTGTATCTGAACATATTTATTACCTATGCAAATTTTTTATGCTTTCTGTAAAGTCAAAACTGGGCAAAGTATGTGAAGTCTATTTTAATATTATGGATGTTCCTCTGTTCTGTGGTCTCTGCAGATTGCAGTACACTGTGAAAATTATTTTCTTGTGGTGCTTTTTATGAAATTTTCTACTTTGAAATATTACCTTATTTTAAAAATACTGTTTAGACACTTGTCTCTTAATATTATATTTTAATATGTTTTAAGAGAACTTGACTGAGATAAAAATGATAAATAAAATAAAATKATAAAAATTCATTGGTATCCTTGTTCTGTTCTGAGGAAGACTAATGGTGGTTCTTGGGTTTTTTACCACTGACTCTTTTGGGGTCAGTACTTCACAGATGTTMTCTGAGTTAGTCACATGAGCTTGCTGAAGTGGCACTGAACAGGAATAGCAATAGTGGACATTTCTGGAGATATTGACTCTGTCTGCCTTTGTTCCCATGGCTGTAGCAGCAGATCTGAGAATATGAAAATTGTCATAAGAGCAGTAGAGTTTATCCTGGTTATGGCTAGTGCCCCAGTGATGCAGAGAAGAAATTTGTCAGGCCCTGGTGCTTCATAGGCTCTCTGTTGTAKRTGAAAGCTTTTATGGGRCTGTGGGGGGTCCAGATCAGATTGYTKCAGTAGCACAGCTATGCTTCTSTCAGGGTCTGGCCAAGTTAAAACTCATGTGTTCTCAGTAGAAACTTTACAAGTATTTTAAATTGTACATCTGTTTCTTCTTTTTGGAGATGTTATTGTTTATTGGATGTGAATGAAAGAGAGGTRCTGTCAAAAAGGGATTACAGACATCATTAACATACCCTAAATTATCCAAGGATAAAATCCAGAGGGAGGAGAAAAGAAGTAATTGTGAAATGCTGTTGAAAATAAAACCATCATCCTCCAGGCTGGGTCAAAACTGYCCCTTCTCTTCTGGCTCTCAGCAGCTGACACTGTTTATGCCCTTTCCCTAACAGCCCAAACCATCTTGGTGTTTGTCTGCTCTCCACAATGGCTCTCTCAAGAGTCACATTTCTCTTTGGGGGTSTGACATTCCCTTGTCCCACATGTACAGGTCTAGAAGCACATTGTGTGACCAGGCCTGGCATCCCTTCCCCTGCTTGGAGGGTTTTTCTTACAGTATGGCTCTAAAGATATCAGCTGTGTTAGTGGCAGTGCCTGTGCTGCTTTTGCTGTGCAGCCTGGCAAAAATGAGTACTGAGTAGGACTTGAGCATCCTCTGTCTGTACCTGTGTTCTGCTGTCTGCTTGTGGCTGTATAAAAGCCAAATGACTGTAAAAGAGGGATCCAAGAAACTCGTTTGCATTAAATAGTAGAATTGCTATTGCTAAAGCAGAGTTTCTTGGCCAGCTGCCGCTTGCACAGCCTTCTTCAGCCCTTCCTTGGAGCTCTGCAGGCACATTGTGACCTGCAGGATTCAATCACAGGCTCCTCAAACAGAAATGAGCTGCTCTCCAGACACTCTAGTGGGATCCACTTAAATGGCATCTCTTGAAAGTAGCCTTAAAAGGCTGGATGAAATTTCCTCTCTTGRGGGGTATTAATACCTGGCTTTAGCAGAACCTTCAAGTAAAAGCCTGTCATGTTTAAATACATACATACATACACATATATGTATGTGTTTATGTAATCTCTTGGTCTTGGTTAAATAGTATTTTCTTTAAAAGAAGAACTGTGGAAAAAGGMTTTAAAAAAGTTCTTGCATCTTCTCATACAATCAATGTCTTCAACTTTCTTCTTCATTTTTTCACTGAAAATATAGAAGAAAGAAAGGGAAATAAAGCAGTGAAGATAGGGGGAATGGAGATAGAAGGAGAGAAAAGTGGAAGAAGAAAAAAGCRATCTCCAGTGTTTAGGTAATTTAATGTATAGGAATTTAAACAAGTTTTTGTCAGAACTTTTGGAAAGAAATTCTTGGGCTTTCAATCAGTTGTATTTGAACATTTGTTCAACTGAAAATTTGATCGCATTTGGCTTCCTTTCTGTCTCTTCATTAAAGCACTTCCCACCCACCACCTTTTGTAAACTAAAGTAACATTAGAGTATCCTGARTATGCTAAAGTATTTTGCTCAGCTGGAACATTAGGTTGGGTAATTTTTGTTAATTAAATGCCAATTTATACTGGGAATTCTCTGGATATATGTGTGGGTTTTGACATGAAAACCTCCGTTTTCATCATTACCTCTTAACTCWGTTTATATTGGGAACTGCTTCTCATT